GGTCATAAAACAAAGTACTGCACATATTAATGTTTGTCCTGATGATTGTGCTACATGAAAAGTCAGAGGATCACCAAAGTTATTACTATTACGTTGCCATTCCCAGAGCGTGTCGAGCGCTAGCATGGCTAAAAATAGAGTCCACTTAAAATCACAAAAGACTTCACTTCATCCAAGGTGGGTTCAAATCAAGCGGCACCTGGACCTGGTTGAAGATACTCAAATACTCTTCACAGACGTCATCTCTTCAGATTCAAAAGTCTCGTCAAAGAGAGCTTCAGTTGTATAGGAGGTATAAAAAATGCCTTTGGAGATCTAAATGTAAGCCGAGAAACAAAACACAAGAGGAGCTCTCACAAGTCAAGGACAGACAAGAGTTTGGCTTCCAGTGATACAGAAGGAAAAGGACCAATCTTGTTTTTGTGTTTGTGTGCCACAGCTGACAAGCTAACCTGCAAACTGAGCAGATTCCCTGCTGGATATTTGTTTCGGCAATTTGTGAAACAGATTCAGGCACAACACGAGACATGTGTCCGTGTTTGTAGAGAAGGTGGAGACCAGAAGGCTGACGAGTTGTTTTTACTTTCAGCGACAGAGCAGGGACAGTCATGCTTTCTGATTGGTTAATGCAGATATAGGAGCTGGGCAAACAAAATATAATTATAGTGATATAATATTCCTCAATAACAACACAACAGATTTCCAATAAATGTTTGATTTAATTCATTTGAATCAAGAACGAATTAGCTCTTAATTTTTCTATTAAGATGTTTTTTTGTTATGGAAAAAGGACTGAAAACAGATTTTACTTACTAATTTTTTGAATGCTCTGCCACAGATTTGTGAAGTGATCCACTGTGTTTGTTCTGACCATAAAGTTTCACTAAGGAGCAGAAATCAGCCTTTAAACCTAAAAAGGAATAATAACTTTATTGCGTGACGGTTTACTTTCTCAGAAGAAAGAGCTCATAGTGGAACCAAAGATGGAGGTTTAATCGGCTTACAGCTGAATTTTTAAATACAAAGTTTTATTTTTACTGCGGTTATTGAATTGGAGGAGGTGGACCTTCACCCAGATTCTCCTGGAGACACCTGAGAGTCCTGTGGTGGAGCGTGCTCAGTGAACACATGGTAATGTTTCAGCAGCTGACAGCAGCTCTGTCAGGTAGAGTTGGACCTAGAAGTCCTTTCAGACTAATTACATAAAACTGAGGTGTTTGTCGACTGAGCTCTGACTTTGCAGCTTCGGCTGGACACATGAACAAGCTGTACCTGTCTGACACACTCCGCCTGTTAGTATAAAGTCAAACACGGAGAGAGAGGGAGGGCCGAGAGGATTGTGTTGTTCAGGAATGTGCGTTAGGAAAAGAAATGTGGGTCTTGTGGTGGTTACAAAGGCCCCTTTGTGACCAGGTACCCCCCCTTCCTCCTTCAACACTGGAGATACTGAGAGTTTGCCTCCATCTCTCCATCATACCTGTTCTGACCTGTGAAAACACACACACACACATGACCTGACTGAGTATACGAACTACTACAGAGCTGTCAAACTGCTGGTTATTCATTCATTAAATTTAGCTCTCTAGAAATTCAGGAAATTCACAGAGAAGACAAAACAAACACTAAATACCTCAGTAATATCGTCGACAACATCTTCCAAATCGAGATGTAAAAGTCTCTTTCGCTCATCTTATTATCCGAGGTGATTTTATTGATTTTATATCATGTAGTCTATGACGAACTGCTTACTCTGTGTTAGGATTTATTGCTTTACTCTTCCTTGGTTCTGCTGTTTAATTGTTGTACTTTCAACATGTAAAGCACCTTGTGAGGAAGCAGGAAGGAATTTTTATGTCGAGACAACTTGAAGTTGTGCAAATGTGTGATGTTGGAAAAGGAGACATGCAAAGCTGGGAAAAGAAATTATAAATTGCGACCAGGAAAGATACCCGTTTCCAAAATAAGCACGATTTGCTGCTGACATTATTATTTTGAAGCCATTAGAACAAAGGCTAATATTCATTTTTGTCTTTGTTGATTGTTAAGTCTAGAGGAGAAAATGGCTTTATAATATAATAAACTTTAACGCTAGCAGCTCTGTGGGGCTGTATTTGCACCAGCATGCTAACATGCTGATGTTTAGGAGATTTACTATCTTTGTTTAGTTTGTTAGCATGCTAACATTTGCTAATTAGCGCTCAACACGAAGTAAAGTGTTGAGATTCATCCTCTGTGGTAATTGATGAGAAATTGCAGTTTGGACCAAAGATGCGGACGGACCAACAGACCGACACTCATGCTGCTAGCATGGCAAAAAATCCAGCCTGTCCTCACAAGAGAAACATCTGTACAGGTTGATTTTGCTTATTACGACCCATATTTATGTTTTTAGTTAGACCTCTAGTGGCCGAGGAAGTCAGGTGACTCTTGGTCATTCCGGCCAAGCAATCTATCCACCATAACATCAAACTACAAACTGACTCCTCATCTTCATTCCAACCAGGGTGGTGAGAAACGTGGGTGTCGTGATTGATGACCAGATGTCCTTTTCAGACCGTGTTGCTGCTGTCTCTCGGTCGTGCCGCTTTGCTCTATACAACATAAGGAAAATCAGGCCCTACCTCACTCAGTACGCCACCCAGCTTCTGGTACAGGCCGTGGTTATCTCTCGCCTCCACTATTGCAATGCCCTCCTAGCAGGTCTGTGCGGTGAAACCCTTACAAATGGTTCAGAACGCAACAGCGCGTCTGGTTTTTGATCAGCCCAAAAGGACTCTTGTCACTCCATTACTCAGTGACCTCCACTGGCTCCCAGTGGCCTCCAGAATCAAATTCATGTCACTAATGCTTGCATACAGAGTGACTACTGGGTCTGCACCATCTACCTAAACCCCACAATACAAACTTACTTTCCTTCTCGGCCATAAAAAGCAATCTCAGTCCCGGCTGTTCTCATCTGTGACACCACGATGGTGGAACGAGCTACCACACGCCATCAGAGCAGCGGCGTCCCTCTCTGACTTCAAGAAGCTCTTAAAATCTCATCTCTTCCGAGAACACTTCCTCTTATAACACCTCTAACTCCTAACCTCTAACATGCACTTCCTGCGCTCTTCTTCTTCTGTCCTCTACAATGATCTTGTATTGATTGCACTTTGTTAACTCTTACTTCCTCCCCTAGGTGTTTACCCATTGATGCGATACGTGCTATGAGTATTTACTTACTAGTATTTACTGCTCTTACTAGTATGTATTGTCAGTTGTAGACCTCGTGCTGTATTTGATGCTCTGCTGATGCTTGTGTGTTTGTGCGTCTGCCAAACGAGTGAATGTAAATGTAGTTTAATTAATGACCGAGTCCATGTAAGGACGGGGGTGGGCTGGATGGATGAGTCAAGTACACTCAGGAGGTTTTAGATGACTTACGTTACTTACATCAGTGGTTCTCAAACCTTTTCAGGCCAAGGGCCCCTAAACCGACACACGTTAGACCACAGACCCCCATTTGATAATTTTGTCCCAGGGTCCCTGATCTGATGGGATTTTTGCTTTTAGATGTTTTATTACAGACTGTGTATGAAACCCATGGCCAAAACAGTCACCGTGTTCATTATGGATGGAATTATAGTGAAAGTCAATTATTAGATTTTGCTAGAGACCCCTTGGGACCCCCTCAAGGACCCCGATTTGACTTACATAATGTACTTTAACCCAAACCATGATCTTGTCCTAGACCTTCTTTTCCGTTGCCTAAACCTAAGTGAACTACCACCGTATCCCGTTTACCTCGCGTCAAACACCATGTGATGCTCATGCGATACGCCTGTCGCCCTACTGGTACTTGCTAACGCTCGTACATGTTTTTGGGAAAGGTTATATATGTGCTTTCTAACGGACATATATGTTGTTCTGGGACACTTGACAATCGACCTATTTAGTCGTTTAGTTATGAGGACATGTTGGAAAAAACTCCCCAGCCTCCGTCCTGATATCTGATCTGGATGTTTGACCAATCATCCTTGAAATAGCTTCTTTCTAGAAATCTTGCAGTGAAAATGAACCGCTGCTGCTGCTGCTACAGGAGGCCGCAGCTGGTCCACGATGCCACAGCGGGGATCTTGACCAACTCTGCCCCCTCTGCTCACTGAAA